CCCTTCTTTGTCGAAGTAAACGTGATCCCTAAGGAGCCAACGTCCTACAGCCCAGTAAGGAGGGAAATCCATTTGATTCAATTTGCAGACCTGGTGGATAAGCTTGGGGTCGGTGATCACGGGGTAATGAGGATGCGTCTGGCACATCTTTTGAGCACACGAAGTACAATAAACTTCACCCTCTTCGTAGTAATTCGCTGAGAGTAATCCATTCCCCTTTCTCGTGACAGAGGCACGTTCCATAAATCGAGGTTGGTTCCGCATTCTTTGATTACAGACGGCACACGAGTATTCTCGATTTTCTTTTCTGCACAAGGAACATCTATGACACGGTTCTCCTTCTTGATAATAGTGCTGCACGCGACGTCCTTCACTCATGTACAAACATCGGTTGTAAGCTTTCACGTAAAGTTCTGAAGGAACCTCGAAGAGATGTTTAGGAATCGCTTTCTTGCCAAACTGAAGTGCATAATTGTCTATCGTCCTTTTCTTCATCTGAAAAGAACCACACGTTTTTTAAAAATCTCCTGTTTTTTTATTTTTTAAAACAATTTTTTACATGCCAAAGTTTGAACGTCTACCGAAAATTCTATAACAGAATCGTAAAGTTCATCCAGAAATAAGTTCATCCACATTTGCATCATGTCCATTTCAAACAACCATGGGTTCTTCATCGTTCTTCTTCTTCTTCTTCTTCTTCTTCTGAAGAAAAATTATAGGGAAAGTTGTCATCCAAAACGTCCCACTCGATGAGATGTTTAGCCAGCTGGARTGTGTCTCGACTGTCTTCTAAAGGTCCCAACACAATGGCGTCGATCTTCCTCAGTTTCCAATCGTCGTAAGCCACGGATGTGCGCCAGAGGTTATGTGGAGTAGGGACAAATGTTCCTTTCCAAACCCGGACAATTTCCCGAAACGTGCAATGGGACAATTGAGTCTCGTCTCCGCCCGATTCCACGTAATTGCGTAATTGGATATAAGCAGGAAACTTACGATACTTGGCCTTCTCTTTTTTGGTCAATTTCCCCCACCAAGGAAAATCATGTTCAATAGGTTTTTGTTCTTCCATCACTTACTTTTTTGTTTTCTTCCTGCTTCTTCTTGCTTCTTCTTCTTCTTCTTCTTCTTTTACACGAGGTACCTAGTGAGAAAAAACACAGAGATCCCATCAGAACTTCCGGTTCGGACCCAGATCACTTCTGGTTTGATGACGTCACTTCCGGTTCGGACCCAGATCACTTCCGGTTTGATGACGTCACTTCCAGTTGGAGGGCAAATCACTTCCGGTTTAATGACGTCACTTCCGGTTCGAACTCAGGTCACTTCCGGTTTGATGACGTCACTTCCGGTTCGGACCCAGATCACTTCCGGTTTGATGGCGTCACTTCCGGTTGGAGGGCAAATCACTTCCGGTTTAATGACGTCACTTCCGGTTCGGGCTCAGGTCACTTCCGGTCACACCATGCACCGCGGGCTCACCCCCATCATCACTTACTTTTTTGTTTTCTTCCTGCTTCTTCTTCTTCTTCTTCTCCCTCTTCTTCTGCTACACGAGATGAGACAGCTGATGAGAAAAAACACAAGGACCCATCAGAACTTCGAACCGTAAAAAAGGGACACCATTCAACAAGCCATTTTATTTTTGAAAAAACATTCTATTTTTGAAAAACATTTTATTTTTGAAAAAACAT